GGAGGTCAGGTTGAGAAGTGTCTGCCCAACTCCATCCCACCAGAGGAACTGTGTGACATATGGTGAGTGGAGGTCAGGGTGAGAGTGTCTGTCCAACTCCATCCCACCAGAGGAACTGTGTGACATATGGTGAGTGGAGGTCAGGTTGAGAGTGTCTGCCCAACTCCATCCCACCAGAGGAACTGTGTGACATATGGTGAGTGGAGGTCAGGTTGAGAGTGTCTGCCCAACTCCATCCCACCAGAGGAACTGTGTGACATATGGTGAGTGGAGGTCAGGGTGAGAGTGTCTGTCCAACTCCATCCCACCAGAGGAACTGTGTGACATATGGTGAGTGGAGGTCAGGGTGAGAGTGTCTGTCCAACTCCATCCCACCAGAGGAACTGTGTGACATATGGTGAGTGGAGGTCAGGTTGAGAGTGTCTGCCCAACTCCATCCCACCAGAGGAACTGTGTGACATATGGTGAGTGGAGGTCAGGTTGAGAGTGTCTGTCCAACTCCCACCATCCCACCAGAGGAACTGTGTGACATAGAGGAACTGTGTGGTGAGTGGAGGTCAGGTTGAGAGTGTCTGTCCAACTCCATCCCACCAGAGGAACTGTGTGACATATGGTGAGTGGAGGTCAGGTTGAGAGTGTCTGTCCAACTCCATCCCACCAGAGGAACTGTGTGACATATGGTGAGTGGAGGTCAGGTTGAGAGTGTCTGCCCAACTCCATCCCACCAGAGGAACTGTGTGACATATGGTGAGTGGAGGTCAGGGTGAGAGTGTCTGCCCAACTCCATCCCACCAGAGGAACTGTGTGACATATGGTGAGTGGAGGTCAGGGGATTGGGAGTGTCTGTCCAACTCCATCCCACCAGAGGAACTGTGTGACATATGGTGAGTGGAGGTCAGGGTGAGAGTGTCTGTCCAACTCCATCCCACCAGAGGAACTGTGTGACATATGGTGAGTGGAGGTCAGGGTTGAGAGTGTCTGCCCAACTCCATCCCACCAGAGGAACTGTGTGACATATGGTGAGTGGAGGTCAGGTTGAGAGTGTCTGTCCAACTCCATCCCACCAGAGGAACTGTGTGACATATATGGTGAGTCTGCCCAACTCCATCCCACCAGGTTGAGAGTGTCTGTCCAACTCCATCCCACCAGAGAGGAACTGTGTGACATATGGTGAGTGGAGGTCAGGTTGAGAGTGTCTGCCCAACTCCATCCCACCAGAGGAACTGTGTGACATATGGTGAGTGGAGGTCAGGTTGAGAATGTCTGTCCAACTCCATCCCACCAGAGGAACTGTGTGACATATGGTGAGTGGAGGTCAGGTTGAGAGAGTCTGCCCAACTCCATCCCACCAGAGGAACTGTGTGACATATGGTGAGTCGAGGTCAGGTTGAGAGTGTCTGCCCAACTCCATCCCACCAGAGGAACTGTGTGACATATGGTGAGTGGAGGTCAGGTTGAGAAGTGTCTGCCCAACTCCATCCCACCAGAGGAACTGTGTGACATATGGTGAGTGGAGGTCAGGTTGAGAGTGTCTGTCCAACTCCATCCCACCAGAGAACTGTGTGACATATGGTGAGTGGAGGTCAGGTTGAGAGTGTCTGCCCAACTCCATCCCACCAGAGGAACTGTGTGACATATGGTGAGTGGAGGTCAGGTTGAGAAGTGTCTGTCCAACTCCATCCCACCAGAGGAACTGTGTGACATATGGTGAGTGGAGGTCAGGTTGAGAGTGTCTGTCCAACTCCATCCCACCAGAGGAACTGTGTGACATATGGTGAGTGGAGGTCAGGGTGAGAGTGTCTGTCCAACTCCATCCCACCAGAGGAACTGTGTGACATATGGTGAGTGGAGGTCAGGTTGAGAGTGTCTGTCCAACTCCATCCCACCAGAGGAACTGTGTGACATATGGTGAGTGGAGGTCAGGTTGAGAATGTCTGCCCAACTCCATCCCACCAGAGGAACTGTGTGACATATGGTGAGTGGAGGTCAGGTTGAGAGTGTCTGCCCAACTCCATCCCACCAGAGGAACTGTGTGACATATGGTGAGTGGAGGTCAGGTTGAGAGTGTCTGCCCAACTCCATCCCACCAGAGGAACTGTGTGACATATGGTGAGTGGAGGTCAGGGTTGAGAGTGTCTGTCCAACTTCATCCCACCAGAGGAACTGTGTGACATATGGTGAGTGGAGGTCAGGGGTGAGGAGTGTGTCTGTCCAACTCCATCCCACCAGAGGAACTGTGTGACATATGGTGAGTGGAGGTCAGGGTTGAGAGTGTCTGCCCAACTCCATCCCACCAGAGGAACTGTGTGACATATGGTGAGTGGAGGTCAGGGTGAGAGTGTCTGTCCAACTCCATCCCACCAGAGGAACTGTGTGACATATGGTGAGTGGAGGTCAGGTTGAGAGTGTCTGCCCAACTCCATCCCACCAGAGGAACTGTGTGACATATGGTGGTGAGTGGAGGTCAGGTTGAGAGTGTCTGTCCAACTCCAACTCCATCCCACCAGAGGAACTGTGTGACATATGGTGAGTGGAGGTCAGGGTTGAGAGTGTCTGCCCAACTCCATCCCACCAGAGGAACTGTGTGACATATGGTGAGTGGAGGTCAGGTTGAGGGTGTCTGTCCAACTCCATCCCACCAGAGGAACTGTGTGACATATGGTGAGTGGAGGTCAGGTTGAGGGTGTCTGCCCAACTCCATCCCACCAGAGGAACTGTGTGACATATGGTGAGTGGAGGTCAGGTTGAGGGTGTCTGCCCAACTCCATCCCACCAGAGGAACTGTGTGACATATGGTGAGTGGAGGTCAGGTTGAGAGTGTCTGCCCAACTCCATCCCACCAGAGGAACTGTGTGACATATGGTGAGTGGAGGTCAGGTTGAGAGTGTCTGTCCAACTCCATCCCACCAGAGGAACTGTGTGACATATGGTGAGTGGAGGTCAGGTTGAGAGTGTCTGCCCAACTCCATCCCACCAGAGGAACTGTGTGACATATGGTGAGTGGAGGTCAGGTTGAGAGTGTCTGTCCAACTCCATCCCACCAGAGGAACTGTGTGACATATGGTGAGTGGAGGTCAGGTTGAGAGTGTCTGTCCAACTCCATCCCACCAGAGGAACTGTGTGACATATGGTGAGTGGAGGTCAGGTTGAGAATGTCTGCCCAACTCCATCCCACCAGAGGAACTGTGTGACATATGGTGAGTGGAGGTCAGGGTGAGGGTGTCTGCCCAACTCCATCCCACCAGAGGAACTGTGTGACATATGGTGAGTGGAGGTCAGGGGTGAGGGTGTCTGTCCAACTCCATCCCACCAGAGGAACTGTGTGACATATGGTGAGTGGAGGGTTGAGAGTGTCTGCCCAACTCCATCCCACCAGAGGAACTGTGTGGTGGAGGTGAGAGTGTCTGCCCAACTCCATCCCACCAGAGGAACTGTGTGACATATGGTGAGTGGATGGTCAGGAGGTCAGAGTTGTGAGAGTGTCTGTCCAACTCCATCCCACCAGAGGAACTGTGTGACATATGGTGAGTGGAGGTCAGGTTGAGAGTGTCTGCCCAACTCCATCCCACCAGAGGAACTGTGTGACATGGTGATGGTGAGTCCCACCAGGAGGTCAGGTTGAGGGTGTCTGTCCAACTCCATCCCACCAGAGGAACTGTGTGACATATGGTGAGTGGAGGTCAGGTTGAGAGTGTCTGCCCAACTCCATCCCACCAGAGGAACTGTGTGACATATGGTGAGTGGAGGTCAGGTTGAGAGTGTCTGCCCAACTCCATCCCACCAGAGGAACTGTGTGACATATGGTGAGTGGAGGTCATATGGTGAGTGAGTCAGGTTGAGAGTGTCTGCCCAACTCCATCCCACCAGAGGAACTGTGTGACATATGGTGAGTGGAGGTCAGGGTGAGAGTGTCTGTGAGTCCAACTCCATCCCACCAGAGGAACTGTGTGACATATGGTGAGTGGAGGTCAGGGTGAGAGTGTCTGCCCAACTCCATCCCACCAGAGGAACTGTGTGACATATGGTGAGTGGAGGTCAGAGGAAGTTGATGGGGTGTCTGTCCAACTCCATCCCACCAGAGGAACTGTGTGACATATGGTGAGTGGAGGTCAGGTTGAGAGTGTCTGCCCAACTCCATCCCACCAGAGGAACTGTGTGACATATGGTGAGTGGAGGTCAGGGTGAGAGTGTCTGTCCAACTCCATCCCACCAGAGGAACTGTGTGACATATGGTGAGTGGAGGTCAGGTTGAGAGTGTCTGTCCAACTCCATCCCACCAGAGGAACTGTGTGACATATGGTGAGTGGAGGTCAGGTTGAGAGTGTCTGTCCAACTCCATCCCACCAGAGGAACTGTGTGACATATGGTGAGTGGAGGTCAGGTTGAGAGTGTCTGTCCAACTCCATCCCACCAGAGGAACTGTGTGACATATGGTGAGTGGAGGTCAGGTTGAGGGTGTCTGTCCAACTCCATCCCACCAGAGGAACTGTGTGACATATGGTGAGTGGAGGTCAGGTGAGTGTCTGGTCAACTCCATCCCACCAGAGGAACTGTGTGACATATGGTGAGTCGAGGTCAACTCCAACCCACCAGAGGAACTGTGTGACATATGGTGAGTGGAGGTCAGGGTGAGTCAGGTTGAGAGTGTCTGTCCAACTTCATCCCACCTGGAGGAACTGTGTGACATATGGTGAGTGGAGGTATGTTGGGGTGAGAGTGTCTGCCCAACTTCATCCCACACCAGAGGAACTGTGTGACATATGGTGAGTGGGGGTGCTCTCCTGGTCTTACTTTAGTGCCAGATGGTCTTCTTTCAAACGAGTATGACTTGAAATGCTGTTTCTTGGAGTGACATGAAGTAAATAGATGGAATGCTCTGACTTGACCAGAATTCCCTTCAGCATCTTCTAGAATCTTTGTGTATCCCAGCAAGAAGCCAACATATATGCAGCTATACAAATACAGTCTGTAGGACCTGAAAAGTTGTAGCTTGTCTGCAGGACCTGTACGAGTGATGGCTTGTCTGCAGGACCTGTACGAGTGATGGCTAGTCTGCAGGACCTGAACGAGTGATGGCTAGTCTGCAGGACCTGTACGAGTGATGGCTAGTCTGCAGGACCTGTACGAGTGATGGCTAGTCTGCAGGACCTGTATGAGTGTTAGCTTGTCTGCAGCATCTGTACGAGTGATGGCTAGTCTGCAGGACCTGTACGAGTGTTAGCTAGTCTGCAGGACCTGTATGAGTGATGCTAAGTCTGCAGGACCTGTACGATACGAGATGGCTAATCTACATGACCTATATGAGTGTTTGTTAAGACTGCAGGACCTGCAAATGAGTGATGGCTAATCTACATGACCTATATGAGTGTTTGTTAAGTCTGCAGGACCTGTAACGAAAGTGATGGCTAATCTACATGACCTATATGAGTGTTTGTTAAGACTGCAGGACCTGTACGAGAGATGGCTAATCTACATGACCTATATGAGTGTTTGTTAAGTCTGCAGCACCTGTACGAGTGATGGCTAATCTACATGACCTATATGAGTGTTTGTTAAGTCTGCAGGACCTGTACGAGAGATGGCTAATCTACATGACCTATATGAGTGTTTGTTAAGACTGCAGGACCTGTACGAGTGATGGCTAATCTACATGACCTATATGAGTGTTTGTTAAGTCTGCAGGACCTGTACGAGTGATGGCTAATCTACATGACCTATATGAGTGTTTGTTAAGTCTGCAGGACCTGTACGAGAGATGGCTAATCTACATGACCTATATGAGTGTTTGTTAAGTCTGCAGGACCTGTACGAGAGATGGCTAAGCTACATGACCTATGACCTGTTAAGACTGCAGGACCTGCAACGCAGTGATGGCTAATCTACATGACCTATGAGTGTTTGTTAAGACTGCAGCGGACCTGCAATGCGAGAGATGGCTGCAATCTACAAGACCTATGTATGAGTGTTTCATTAAGTCTGCAGGACCTATAATGCAGAGATGGCTAATCTACATGACTTATATGAGTGTTTTGTTAAGACTGCAGGACCCGTAATGAGTGATGGCCAATCTACACGACCTATATGAGTGTTTGTTAAGACTGCAGGACCTGGTACCTATGAGAGAGATGGCTAATCTACAAGACCTATATGAGTGTTTGTTAAGACTGCAGGACCTGTGCATGCAGAGATGGCTAATCTACAAGACCTATATAGGAGTGTTTTGTTAAGACTGCAGGACTCCGTAATGAGAGATGGCTAATCTACATGACTTATATGAGTGTTTGTTAAGTCTGCAGGACCTGTACGAGTGATGGCTAATCTACAAGACCTATATGAGTGTTTGTTAAGTCTGCAGGACCTGTACGAGAGATGGCTAATCTGCAGGACCTGTACGAGAGATGGCTAATCTACATGACCTATATGAGTGTTTGTTAAGTCTGCAGGACCTGTACGAGATGGCTAATCTACATGACCTATATGAGTGTTTGTTATAAGTCTGCAGGACCTGTACGAAAGTGATGGCTAATCTACATGACCTATATGAGTGTTTGTTAAGTCTGCAGGACCTGTGCAGAGATGGCTAATCAGGACCTGTATATGACAGAGTGATAAGCTAATCTACATGACCTATATGAGTGTTTGTTAAGTCTGCAGGACCTGTATGAGAGAGATGGCTAATCTACATGACCTATATGAGTGTTTGTTAGTCTGCAGGACCTGTATGAGAGATGGCTAATCTGAGTGTTTGTTAAGTCTGCAGGACCTGTACAGAGATGGCTAATCTACATGACCTATATGAGTGTTTGTTAAGTCTGCAGGACCTGTACTGAGAGATGGCTAATCTACATGACCTATATGAGTGTTTGTTAAGACTGCAGGACCTGTAATGAGTGATGGCTAATCTACAGACCTATATGAGTGTTTGTTAAGACTGCAGTGATGGCTAATCTACATGACCTATATGAGTGTTTGTTAAGTCTTCAGGACCTGTACGAGTGATGGCTAATCTACATGACCTATATGAGTGTTTGTTAACCTCTGCAGAGAGATGGACATGACCTATATGAGTGTTTGTTAAGACTGCAGGACCTGTACGAGTGATGGCTAATCTACATGACCTATATGAGTGTTTGTTAAGTCTGCAGGACCTGTATGAGTGATGGCTAATCTACATGACCTATATGAGTGTTTGTTAAGTCTGCAGGACCTGTACAAGTGATGGCTAGTGTGGAGTAGCTGTACAAGTGTTGGTAACTATTTTTTATCTTTCTTTATATAGACAGGTCTGCCTGCTACTAAATGAGGGGATTAGTCTAAGAAAAGAACCATATTGAGAACTACGCATGAACAGTTGTGGGATTGGTCACTTAGCTCGGAATCCTAGGAGTATGTGCAAATTTGATAAACTTACTTTTCACACAAGGTGTCATGCCAACCGCTTCACAATAAGCTGTTAATACCATAGTTGACATAACATGAAAAATGTCATATTCTTGGGGTTTTTTGCTAGGAGACAAAACATTGGGGTTACTGATTAAATGAAGGTCAGTTTGAAGTTGGTTACAGTGTTATCCATGGGTACTGGTCAATGTTTTGTGAACTATGAACTTTGCTAATAAACATTGTTTGTTTACTTAATGTGTTTGTTGTGTTTGCTGACTGGAGATGTGCTGAACCTGAAGCATTCCCATATGACATTGTCCTGAACATATGCTACCAGCATTTCACCTCAGGGTTTTCAGACATTTAGATGGAGGTCTGTTGCACTAAAATGTAAACAGAAAAAACCCCAAACATTATGGGGTATTCACTTGATATTTTGAGATTTAATATTAAATCATAAGGAAATTTGTGCACATATAGTGCATGTGAACAGCTGCGTTTTGGTGTAAAGTTTTGTTAAGAATTCACCAATTTTCATCATTTTATTGAACTCATGACAATAATCTTTTCTACGTTACGAATTTGATTTACAATACATCAGTTCATGTGTAAACAGTACCTTTAAACAGTATGGAATATTTTGTAAAATCTAAGTCAGATCAGTTGACTGAAGTAAGTGGCTACATTTACACTAGTGAGTCTAAACTTTTGATGGGCAGTATATATGAAGAACTACACACACTTAGGGGAACATAGTACGTGTTATGTAATAATCTCTGACTCAAGATGGATGCACCTTTTGTTCTGTGCACTATTTACTAAATAATATGTAGCATGAGCAAAACACTTACAGAAGTATACTTGAGTGTGGGAAAATTCTGCTGCAAACATTCAGTGTCATTAACTGCCATGCCCCTCTTGAGCTCTGACAACAGGTACACACATATTGACAATATCGAGGCTGGGTGGACATTTCAATGTATTGCAGATCAATATGGACAACTGACTTTCAACGTCACGTTCAAACAACATCTTAGACTGAATTTGGGGGTGGGGGTGGGAGGTTTGTTTTCCCTTTGAATGACAGGATACCCACAGGATCATTACAATACGATTCTCATTAACAGAAGCAGTGATTACATGCAGCTATTATACAGGAAATTCTCTCAATACTGTAACACCGTCTCACACACATTGCAACAGCTCATTGTAACAGTTGGAACAGACAAATGTGGAACATTTTGTTTTCAGATGTAAGCCTGTATGGATACCATCCAAGTCAAGAAGAGTGCTGCAATGCTCCATGTGTGTTAGTACATAACCACTGAGGTGGATCTTCCCTCATGCTGTGGGTTGTATTAAATAGGGGCACCAAGTCCCACCTGCGACCTTCCAAAATAATGGCCAGGAAGTTCACAACACATTCCCTCTTCACAACACATTCTTTAACATAGAGATCCAGAGGTGGAATATCTGCTTCAATCTGTAGAGCTTCTATTGATGTAGTTTTCATCTTGAGATGAGATAACTTTTATCAGGTTTATCCTTTTGTGACAGGCATCCACAAGGAGGTCAATATGGGTTTTTGAGCTCAGCATTGGGTCCAGGATAAGGCCGAGAAGTTTCGCATTCTCGTTGTACCTTATCTTCTTTCCCTTCACCTATATTTCAGGATTGTCTATAGGGAGAGAGTGCTTCTCTTTCCTGGTAATGATGGTATATTGTTTCTTCTTCTCTATATATTTTTATGTCTTGCGTTTCTTTGGTTGTGGGTGTATATACATAGCACAAAGAAATAGAGACAGTTTTGAATACTTTGGATTTTATTCCACACATTAGACCTGGGACAGATTTAAAACAAAATGAGAGCCAAAACAAATTAACTATCAGATTTTCATCCCCTTTCTGCCAGCATTCATGTTATATGTGAATCACTCAACTGATGGTGAGCTAATACAGATGCATGAATAATGTTTAAATATGGATGAAAATCTAATAAATAGTTTAGTGTGGCGACACTGTGGCCTTACATTCAAGTGTTATTCACAAACACATGATTAAGACGTCATGGCATCTCATTTTAGATGACATTTCAAAGACCATACAGAAACACTGAGGATGCAGTCATTACAAGTTCAATTCATCCTTTATTTCATTCACTCCAAACTAACCCATTACTTGTTTCATGGCAGACATACAACATCAAATCAGGAATATCAATGAAACTTTCCAGCATGTAGACCTGCACCCTGTTGCTGAAATCATCCACAAAGACTGAAGAAACAGTAAATATTGATCATTTGTAACCACATGGAGTGAAATGTTGTACAATAATTTTCTTAAAAGACCAATCATATGAAACATTTCAGAAGTCCTTACACTGATGGTTGAGCTCCATACAGAGTAGCATGAACCATGCAAGGTCACTTGTACGTGAAAACCAAACAATACCAGGAAGACTTACAAACAATACTGTAGCTAAATCCTGGTTTCAATGTCTGTCCTCCATCCTTGTATTTGTAGGAGACATGATCTCATTATGGAACCGGTATTCTGCAGATTGTCCTTCCCATCCAGAGAGTTTTCTTCAGCAGGTTCTGATTCTGGTCCAGACAAGTTGGGAGTGAGCAGTCATCATTTCACACATTTCATTGTGTCAGTACCCACAAACATTCAGCTCTGCCATCACCTTTTGCTCTTACTCAGACGAAGAGATTTCTCTATTTCAAACTGACGGACATCGGCACGGTTGAGAAAGGCCATCCTTTCTAGGTATCTGTAAATATGATGAAGAAGTATCCCATGTCACTAAAACTCTGTACTTTCACACTTTCACTGAAGGAATCTATTAATACTTTACAACTCAGTTACGGCTTAGGTCTGGCAATGACTTATTGTTCAACAACAGATCAGTCACCAGCTAAACTATCCAGAAACAAAATCTGCCTGGTTACTTGAGAGGTCCTCAGTTTGCAGAAAATCTATGTTTTACTTTATAACCAGCTTTGACAGATAAACACAAGAGTGCAGTTTCCATCTGCTGCAAAAGGTACAAAAGCTCATCCTAACTAAGCATTATACAACTTGCGAGTAGAGGGAGCTCAAACATCCAACAAAACAACACAAAATATCACAAAGAAGCATTTGTCCAGTAGGAGAGGTCATGTATGACCCTTAAAAGGTCCAATATGTAATTTTCTGACTAAAATTGATATTTTACACTTATCCTGACTCATGCTTATTGCTTGTCTCTCTTTCCTTCCGAATGCTAGTGGAACACTTGAATCCCTTTTTGAAGCTCCCTTCAAAAAAGCGGACGTAAAATCACTTACCAGGAGTCACCTCCCTTGCCAGGTTTTGGTGGGAACGGCGCCACCTGTCTGCCATGCTCTTCACTCTCTCCGTATTATAACCCGACACACTGGTTTACTGGAAAATCCAGAGTGCCTTGAGGGGAGGTTGGGAGATCTTACCTCATGAGTCAGGATAAGTATAAAATATCAATTTTAGTCAGCTTATTGCTTGTAGAATCCGACGGTATAGGTGGTGGGTCAAGCCACCTCTGGATTCCTTAGTGAAGAATTTACGTCCTATATACCCCCATGGGAACTTTAAATGGCACTGCTGCTGTTGATCCATATGTCGAAATAATTTGGTAATTTGGGGGGACCACAATATACCATTTCTTCTGTAACCGTACATGTGGATTTAAATAACTCCAACTCTTGATGATCGTATCAAGTGGAGTAGTGACCCTATCCATGTACAAATAATTCCTTACTCTAACTTCGTGCGGATTGGAAGCTCGAGGAGGCTCAAGTCCTGCTGCCTTGTAGGCTCGTAGTATGATTGCTCTCATCCAAACTGATATCGTAGTACGTGAGATCTCTGTGGGTGTCTCCAACGATATGGGGATGAAAAGGCGTTTGAATTTTCGTCTCCTGGTTTTAGACTTCTGTAGATATATTTTCAGCTCTGACTGGACATAGGGATAATATTTGTATATCCTGTGGACCAAGGATTGTAGATAATGCTGGGATGTGGAATTGTCTGTCCGGTTGACCTGGCAGTTGATTCTTAGCTATGAAATCCCACCTAAATCCTAGATGAACCTTGTTGTGACGTGTGTCAAAACGTAACCGTTCAAAGTCCAGCGCATGTATTTCTGACATATGTGCCGCTGTTGCCAAGGCGATCAGAAATAGCGTTTTCTGTGTAAGAAATTCGTAAGAAGTTCTTTCTAGTGGTTCGTACACATCACTGGTGAGATGTCGGAATACCACGTTGAGATCCCAAGCCGGCGCTTTAAATTTCATTTGTTGGTCTTCCAGTTTAAAAGAGCGTAGCAAGGCCAGTAACTCTGGCACCTTCGTCAGTTTCACGCCTGTCTTCATAGTGATAACTGAGCTGAGAGCCGCTAGGTATGTAGATAATGTCGAACCTTTTAATTTCCTCATTTGTCTGAGATGACAAAGATATTCCGCCACTTGAGGATGTGTTGCTTTCACTGCAGTGAAACCTTTCCTCGATGCATATTTCTCAAAGCTTTGCCACTTGTCGTCATACAAGTTACGAGTAGATCTGCGTAAAGCTAGTATAACTGCTTTCGCTGCTCTGGCGGAGTATCCTCTTTTCGACAAGCAATTCGTGAAAGGTTCCATACGTGTAGGTGGGACAATCTGGGATACTTGTGAACTTGCTTGGTGTGAGGATGAATTAGTAGGTTCGACCAAACTGGAAGTTGTATTGTTGGTTTTCCGATTTCTTGTAAAAGAACGGGAAGCCACGTTCTTGCTGGCCAGTAAAGAAGGCGACCAAAATCAGTTGTAGATTGTTTGTCTGCCTGATTTTCTGTAATACCTCTGGTATTAACGCTGGCGGAGGGAACGCTGGTACGCGTTTAGCCCTTCCCATGGGATGCTTAGAGCGTCTGTCGCCCATGCTTGCAGATCGGGAATTGGAGAGACGAATGTTGCCAGTTGATTGTTGAATCTCGTTGGCGAATAGGTCTACGAGTGGAGATCCTATCGTCTGTATGATGCATCTGAACGCTTGTGGATGTAACATCCATTCTGTTGGGGATGGTTGATGTGGTCGAGATAGCGCATCTGCTATTACCGTATATGACCGTCTATAAGCCGAATTTTGAGGACCAAAAAAAGCAGTCTGTAGAAGGGGGTCGTCTTATCCATGAGTTACACTTTCGTCAAACTTTTTTCCAGGGGTAAGAAAACAACATCGTATCACTTCGCGTGAACAAACAACAGAAGACGAATTTGTCAGTAGAGACGTCAAATTTGCAATTAAACATCACTAGACAAGATTAATTACCATTTAAGTTATAAGTTGTTTTTGCTGGGCATTGTTTTATTTGCAGGGATTAAGATTACCGTGCGTATTTGTCTCGTACACAAAGCCGGAAATAGCAATCAGCTGTGCACACGTTTCCCCGCGAACAAGTTCAAACATGCACAATAATATAACGGGACGAATCCTGACGCAGTCATCAGTAAAATATAATACAAAATACCGTCATTTAACCCAAAGAAATATATCCTAGCATTGTGTAATTTTAGTTACAGTTTTTGCTCTATAAATTAATTAAGATTACCGTGCGTATTTGTCTCGTATTACACAAAGCCGGAAATAGCAATCAGCTGTGCACACGTTTCCCCGCGAACAAGTTCAAACATGCACAATAATATAACGGGATGAATTCTATTGATTGAATACTATTATTTAACCCAAAGAAATATATCCTAGCATTGTGTAATAGTTTTTATGTAAAAAATATATAATCAACACTAAGGTTATACGGACCATCATGAACGTGGTAAGCACGTGACATGGAACGAGGCGGTAATCAGTTTGTGATTGTTGAATGGGGTAAAATAAGCAAGCCAGTTTGTTGCTACAATAAATATGATATTTAGAGAAGCAAAATATATTATGCATTTTCTGTCAACTACACTTCGTTTCGATCCGTGAGTAGACACAATATATATGACCGTGAATTCTTTGAATAATGTGGACCAAAGTTATAATTATTGGTAACTGCCAGTTGTCTGTGGGATGAGTTTGTCGAAAGTGTTTATTGTTAGTGGACTATTTTCTTATTGTCATATATATATAGATGAAATATGGACACTTAAATAATATATTTTGAAACAAAAGTTGACTTCAGTTTTTATTTACCGATGGTACTTTTTCTCTTGGGTTCACATTTCCATACTCACCGATTTCACAAAATGGCGTCTCGTTGTTGATGCAAGCAGTGATCGTCGGGATATAAAAAGGAACACAAACACATGTTGCCACAATACACCGGTAATCTTTATTATGTAATATTCTCACCAACACTTATGCTGTATATCCACTTTCCAAATGGCGTCTCGTTGTTGATGCAAGCAGTGATCGTTAAAAAAAGGTAAACAAACACCGGTAATCTTTATTATGTAATATTCTCGTAATGGTGTCTCGTCGTTGATGGAACATACTTACCGGGTACTCTGGTCTCTGTTGGCCGCGACCCATCGCAGGGGGGCGGCCTATCCATGAGAGATATGATTTTGACACTGATTTTGAGGGTCAAGTTTGGGGGTCGGCTTATCCATGGGGTCGGCTTATAGACGGTCATATACGGTACATTCCTGGCTCCCGGAATGTGACATGCTTTCACATAAATGTTGAGATTGTCTATTATGTTGAATAGTTGAAAGCTGAGGTCTAGAAGATTGCAAGATCTTGTTGATCCTTGTTTGTTTATGTAGAACGCCACTGTTTAGTTGTCCGTATGGATCATCAATTTTGCGTTCCTTAGTACTTTGGACCAATGTAGTAGGGCATTTACTACTGCTTTCATCTCTAGCATGTTGATATGCAGATTCATTTCTTGTTTCGACCATTTCCCGGCAACCACTTCGTTGTCAAGGTGTGCTCCCCAACCATGCAGTGATGCGTCTGTGTAGAGTTGGACGTTGCACTCCGGCTCTATTAAGTAGTTTCCGTCGCAAACATTCGACTTCTGAGTCCACCATAGTAGATATATGGTTTTAGCCTGTCTGGTATTTGAAGGATCCAGACTGTGTAAGTGGCGTTCACAAATCTCTGCAGTGGACGCAGTTGTAGTCTCCCTCTGCGTGTCATGTCTTGAGCTGACGTGGGGAGACCTAATAGGCTCTGCCATTCTCGTAGTGGTAACGGAGAGAGTAGAACTTGAGATCATTTGTTGAATCTTGATCCAACGATCCTCTGGAACGAGAATGCGATTCTTCGTTGTTATAAGCCGTATTCCTAGGAATTGCAAGTCCTGAGTAGGCTGTAGTTCCGACTTGAGGAGATTTACTAGCCATCCTAGTTGAGTGAGAAGTCTGATGGTGAAGTTCAGTTGCAGTTTGAGTTGACTGGGATCTTGCTGAGCTTGAATCCCGTCGTCTAGGTAGAACGCACTGCGTAGACCACGACGATGTAGATATATATTGATGGGCTTTGTCACTCGAGGGGGCCGACGATATTCCAAATGGCAGGACCTTCCATTGGAAATGACGTCCGTTGAACAGGAATCGTAGATATTTCCTTGATTCCTGATGGATCGGGATGTGTAAGTATGCATCCTGTAAATCTATGCTGGCGAGACAGTCTAGCGGACGTATGAGCTGTCGTAGCTGTGGAAGATGTATCATCTTGAACTTTGCGGGTGGTAGGAGGTAATCTTGTTGAATTTCCTCATGTTGTAAATGAGTCGGAACTTTTCTTTTGAATTTTTCTTTTGTACCAGAAAAAATTGGGGAGTAGAAACCTTGTGTGACGCAGTGTTTTATCTCTTCTATTGCCTCTTTCTCTAGTAGAGATGTGATGGCTTCTAGTAGATTTCCCTTCTGGTCTGCAGCGTAGTTGTGAACCAAAGGGTTGATTGTTACTGGTGGTACTGCTTGTAGCTGTATCCTGTAACCTGTGCGTAGAATCTGAGATACGAAGTCGTCTTGAAGAATTCCCCAATTCTTCCAGTAGAGTTGCAGACGTCCACCCACTTGTGAGGGTTGTACTGGAACGGCTGGGGGTGGAAGACTCCAGTCGTTCCGAACCTGTATTTCATCATCTGGAACTTCTGGCGCCTCGAAAGGGCCGACCTCTTGGAGCTGCGGATGGGCGACGAAAAGAATCCTTATTTCCTTTAGCGTTGCCTGATTTCTTATCCCTTGCTCTCTGGATGCCTGCAAACTTCGATTTGCCGGAATAACATTGGGAGGTCTTACGTATTACACTGGCCAGTGTATCGATAGACTTGATCATCATTACTTCTCGGGAATCTTTAGCGACTTCCTTGGCGACTTCATCAATTTCTCCTGCAAAAATGGATGATGCTGACCAAGGGGCTTTGTAGAGTGTCTTGGTAAACTTCTCGCTCCAAGTACATGAAGATAATAGTCCTTGCCTTCTTGATAATGTTAAGCCTGCAGAAATGGATGATAGGTGTTCAGACATGAACTGATGATCCTTTTTCTGTGTAAGTAGAGCTGAATAAATCATTCTATCTTCCTCTGAAGTTGAATTCTTAAACTTCGAGATGAGAGTCTCGTTGACAGCTCTTGACCTGGCTAGGCCGAAGAAGGTTCGTCTGGTTACTGTGTCTAACTGTGCCAGTTTTTTATCTTCTATCTTGTAAGCTTTAGTCCGAGTGTCGTTGATGATCTCATAATTCTCATCTATCTCTGGGGCCTTCATGAGGGGTTCCATGTGGTGTAGAGAGAACTTCTTAGCGTTGAACGACGGAATACTCTGAGTCTGGTATTTAGCTGCCTTCTTGAAGGCTGTGCTGAGGTTGTCTGGAACGTCTAAGACTGGGTCGATAGGTGGCATCGTGAGTGAGTCTATATCATCATTCATCATCAAGTATGATAGTGCTTCGTTGGTCTCCTTAGAGGGTGATGCGAGTTCCAAACCGTTGGCCATCCATGACTTGATTTCCGAGTCGGAAAATATAATTCCACCGTCATCTTCCTGCTCTGAAGATGGATGTCTTCTACTGTCGTCTGAACGAGGAGATCTGTAAGGTGATCTGTAAGACGATCTGTGTGGTGACATGCGTGGCGATGTGTAAGGCGACCTGCGTGGTGACCTTCGTGGCGAACCATACGTTCGTGAATGTGTTCGTGACATCCTACGTTGGGACCTGCGTGGAGATACAGATGACCGTGCGTGCCTTCGCCTGCGTGTTGGTGAACGGCTTTGTCGAGGGTTGGAGTATGGTGATGAATCTCTATGCCTTCGTACGGTTGTTGATTCTCTTCTCCTTGGTAACGAACCGTTGGGTGCAGGTTCGTGACGAATGTCCGTATCTGACGTCGATGATGATCTGCGTGGGTTCGGCGAACGTCTGGTCCTTCCGTCAAACGTAGTTGGTGCAGAGTCCATGTTGGTATGGCTGCCAGGTATTACGTCGTAAGTAACGCTGTAGTCGAGCTGGAATCTTCCTGTATGCTCTGCAGGACGTTGGTTCCCAACGGACGTTGTGTGCTGCTCAGTTGACCTTCACTCGGGTTCGTCGCAGATGTCGGGTTCGTCGCAGACGTCGTCTTCGTCGCAGCTCTCTCGCGTGCGAACCGTTGATCCATCAGATCCAACATCTGTTGGGTAAATTGCTGCATAAAGGCGCCCGGGTTGAAGGTCTGCGTTGTCTGTTGTACTGACGACGCATCTGAGATGGATCAGGCTTCTTACGAAGGGCGTAGAACCTTCGTGCCGAACGTCTGCGTTGATAGGGTGTCCTGCATGGTCATTGTAGAAGACGTCTTCGTCTTAGATGTGATCTCAGGGATGAGGATGGGCGGCTCATCGTAGACATCTATTTCTTCCAGAGGGACGATCTCAGCTGAAAAGGACCTCGTCTTCTGCGTTGCCCCGTGTGGAGACTTCGCCGAAGTCTTAGCTGTAGCTGCCTTCTTCCTCTCGGAAGACGATGCCCTAGTCTTCTTAGACTGCGAAGAGGGTGTCTCAGATGTAGATGACCTCTTCCTCGAGCCAGCGTTGTCTAAGGCGGCAACCTCCTCCGTAGGCGACCCCGGTAGACCACTGGAATGGTGTATCTGCGCAGACACCAACTGCCGGTCCTCTGCAAACTTAGCCGGTTTAGACATGTCATGTAATTCTCGTCTGGACCTGTCCTTTGCACGTCTAGACAGATAATATGCATATTTGTAAACTGCAATATCAGACAGGTGAAAACACAACTGACAACGAGTGTCAGATAAACATATAGGCTTGCAATTAGGACATAGGTTATGCGGATCAACAGCAGACAAATGATACCTACAATCAGAACAAGGTTTCATCAATTGTAAACAATGTGAATAATCACGTAAAAACGTGACAAAAACAGAGAAATTTGAGAATTAATTCCATACAATATTGTAGGTAAATGTTAGCTAAAGCCTTATACAGCTAATTTAGAAGAAAAGCCTAAATAATAAAAGGATATAAAGCCGTATAGGGGACCAGGTGCTCTCACAACTGCCCACTCAGGCGAATCAGGAGAGAGTGAAGAGCATGGCAGACGGGTGGCGCCGTTCCCGCCAAAACCTGGCAAGGGAGGTGACTCCTGGTAAGTGATTTTACGTCCGCTTTTTTTAAGGGAGCTTTAAAGGGGATTCAAGTGTTCCACTAGCATTCGGAAGGAAAGGGAGACAAGCAATAAGCATGAGTCAGGATAAGGAAAAATGTGGATTTTGTAGTTATTTCACAAGAAGCGACCTTGACCTTACTATTAGCTTGAGCAGATAATTTGATTTTTACCTTACAATAACCATGTTGACCTTCAGAATATTTTTTTAATGAAATTTGATTTCAGTCAATCAGTATTCATTCATGTATCATACATAGCATTTTAAAGTGATCTTCACATATCACATTTGTGAGTATTTAAACTGAGTACTAATGGAAGGACAGGGAAGGTAAAGGGGAGCTATAAGATGGGAAACAATCATGCAAAGAGGCTTGCATAATGCTTTACAGTAGCAGTGGACCAAGTGACCTTTACCCAAAAAAATTTAAATGTTATTTTAATGTGTTCACAGCAAATATCAACAACTCACTGCTGCTAATTCCCTAAATGACAAGCCACACATTACTTACGACTCTTTCCCTCTATTGTGGATCTGTAGATCATCCTCAATTCCTTTATCCTTCTTGAAAGTGTTCCAGTCCATCTTGGACTTCTCCTGCAATATAGACATAGAGATTATTAAACAAGTGACTGACGTTTTGCTCCTAAGGTAAAGAGTACCTGCCTGACATGAGTACAGTAATCTGTTTCTTACACACCAAAAAATCCCACTACTTTCATATTTTCTCATCAGATTGGAGCAATAATACACAATACAATGTTTATAAATGAGAGATGTTACTCATCCCCATCGTGACCCCCCACAGAAAGGTTTCTACCACATCTGTGCATTATCAAGGTAATACTGATAATGCACACCACATAAGAACAAAGAAAATTAATTAAACACTCTGAAGCAACAATGTTGCAACTGAGATGTAGATTTTTGTAGATGTATGTTATGACTAGAGCTGTGTATTGTGGCCTAAGTGGCGAGACGATATATCCCGATGCCAGTTTAATGAGGTGAGACGATATATCATGAAAGTATTGGCAAGAAACCTGCGAGACGATTATCATCACGATACAGTGGTGGCGATACGATACGTATCCCGATACTTTACAATTTCTAAAAACAGAACAGATATGATAGATAAAATAGCTGAAACTTTATCTGTTAATAGTTTTACAGCAGACAGATCTAACTAATTCACACTAAGAATGTCTTCGTTAAGTCCACAATGTTAGCATTGTCTCAAATAAAAAGAACTATTATTTAAGTGAACTGACTTCGTCAAACACATGCCATTAAGAGACGCCATTTACATCTTGAGATTTTTCTTCAAAAACACAAGTCTGTCAACATGAGCAGCTTTCAGTGAAGCTCTTTGTGCAGTCACAATGTCCCTGGAGGTGGAGAAGACTCTCTCTGATGGAACCGAGGTCCCTGGGATGCACAGATATTTCCTAGCAAGTTTTGACAGATATGGATAGTAGATATTATTTTCCTGCCACCAACTTATTGCGTTGGAAGAAAGTTGGAGAGAAGGAGATTTTCTATACATGTTTATTTCCTCATTGACAATGTCTAGCTTTGACCTTGAAGGCACATCCACCTGACCAATAATGTAAACATCCCCGAGCAAGTCATCCTGGGCACACTTGGACGATCCAGAAGATCCGGAAGGCTCTAGTTTGATCACCTTGGCTCTGGGGGGTGATGTGTCAGAGTCGGTCTGGGTAGGTGACTCAGGTTGAGGAGATTCCACAGGAGGAAGATCAGGGAGAAGAGGGAGTGCTGGTACTGCTGCAGTTTTATCATCTGTCTCCTGCTTTACAGTCACCTGAAACAATTCAATCAAGAATACATAAACATTGCTTGATCTAACAAATTCAGATTTCTCAACACCTGAAAGAAAACATAATTTCATAAATAGATACAATCAGGTTTCAAAACATAACATCATATCATCACAATCATAAATTCATAATCCCATGATGTAATCAGACTAAACACAGACTATAGTAATGACTGAGTCTATTAGACTAAGTTGATTTAAGACAAAATTTGTATTTCTCATCTGGTGGATGGACATTAAAATTTACATCATATACTTATTGCAAAGAATTTCATGAATAAAAAATAAAATCTTGATCATTATTCATTAGATGAAATTATTACAGATTACAGATACAAGAAAATATGAACAAATTAACATGAAATGAAACAAATGTCACTTGTAACTTGTAAAGAGAAATAGTTACCAGGTTATATAGAAATGTAATTTTTTGAGTAAAATTGATATTTTATACTTATCCTGACTCATGCTCTTTTGCTTGTCCCCTTCCTCTTGCGAACATAGTGGAACACTTGTATCTCCTTAATTGAAGCTCCCTTCAATGTAAAATCACTAATTGGTACTCACCCAAGAGTTGCCTCCCCTGCCGCTAAGCTGGAACAGGTGTCGCCACCCTCTGGCCTCATGCTTCACTCTCTCCTGATTTTATGCAGCCCAACACTTGAATTTACAGGGAAATCCAAAGTGTTATGTGGGGAGGATGGGAGGGTAACCTCATGAGTCAGGATAAGTATAAAATATCAATTTTACTCAAAAATTACATATTTTCCTTATCCTGACTCATGCTCTTTTGTTTGTAGAATCCAATCGGAGTGGTGGTGGGCATAAACAGAATACTTTGGATTAATAATTAGTGATTTAAATAACTTATACTGTAATAACTTCTTGGGAACTTCATAAAGGCATTGACTTAGGATATTTCCTTTATAATAAGCCATAGGTTATATATACCATAACTGGGGTATTACATTACTAATAGACTGATATACCAATTATAGATATAACAAGCTACTCTGATAGAAAAGCTGTACAACTGAACATAAAATCTCAGTATGAGCTTAAGGTTGAATAACCTAAGCTAAATATATACATAGCCCTAGAACTCCGTGGAGTTATAAGCTAAATAATGTATGTATAATATACATAATAATCTCGTGTGGGGTGAATATTAACGCTTCACGAGGGACTGTCAGTTGCTGAGCGAGGACCAAAGGACCGAAATGGTGAATGCCAGAGACGCCCTCGGTGGTGATATCTCTCAGACAGTGATTAGCAAACACCATGTTAGATTTCCAGAAGCATCCTTCCATAATTGTATTCAATGAACAGTTACCGTGGAAGGGCGAGGGTGGAGGCCAATGCCCTGATTTCATGTGGATTTGATGCTGTTGGAGGGTCCAGTCCTGCTGCCTTGTAGGCGCAGAGAATGACAGTTCTTATCCATATAGATATGGTGGTACGAGACTTCTGTCTGATTAGTAGGCTTATAACGGGATGAACAATCTTCTGAGCGATCTTCGCCTTTGTTTTGGAACGACGAAATAGATTTTGAGAGCTCGTGACTGGGCATAGAGATAAGTCCAATGTATCTTGAGATCCGAGAATCGAGGATAGCGCAGGGACGGAAATAACCTGTCTGGTTGTCCTGGTAGTTGATTTTTGGCGATGAAATCCCATCTTAATCCCAGGTGCTGTGTTTTGATTGTCATCAAACTGTATCCTCTCATAATCTAGAGCTGAATTTCAGATATTCTGGCTGCCGTGGCTAGCTTATAACAGGAAAATTGTTTTCTGTGAGAGAAATTCAAAGGTTGTCGATTCCAATGGTTCATAATCCTCACTTGTGAGGTGTTGTAGCACTACATTCAGATCCCAAGCTGGGGCATGGAACTTCCGCTTTGGTCCTCCAATCGAAAGCACGAGTAAGGCCAGTAACTCTGGTGTTTTGTCAATTTAACACCCGCTCTCATAGAAATCACAGAACTAAGCTGCAAGATATGTTGATAATGTCGAGCCTTTTAAATGTTTGTTTTGCCGTAAGTAACACAAATAGTCTGCCACTTGAGGATGCGTAGCATCTCTTGCTGTAAAACCCTTGTTTGCTGCATAATTTTCAAACTGTGCCACTTGTCGCCGCATGTTACGCGCTGAGTATCGTAAGGAAAGCTGACCGCTTTTTGCCGCCCTGGTAGAATATCCTCTTGTTTAAACACATTTTAATACAGTCCATAATGTGAAGTTTGAATACTTCTGGGTTTCTGTGCACCTGTTTGGTGTGTGGATGTATTAACAGCTTTGAGCTTGGGTAGCTCTAGTGCCGGTTGACCGATTTCTTTGTATTAGAGCTGGAAACCACGCTCTGGCCTGCCAGTAGGGCTGCACCAAAATGAGTTGTAGGCTCTGTGTTTGGCTGATTTTCTGTAATACTTGAGGTATTATTGCTGGGGCGGAAACGCGCACGCATTGAGGCCTTCCCATGATATGCTTAGAGCCGCCCGCTGCCCATGCTTGTGGGTCTGGAACTGGTGACACGTAATGTCGGTAGTTGATTGTTGAATCTTGTGGCTTAATAGATCTACTAGCGGTGCTCCTATTTGCTTGATTATCTGTGCAAATATCTCTGTATTGAGCATCCATTCTGTCGGCGACGGTAGATGTAATGGAGAGAGAGCGCCTGCTAGTATATTCCTGGCTCCGGGAATGTGGCATGCTTTGACATGTAGATTTAGATCTTGGATTAATTCAACAGTTGAAAGGTTAAAGTCAAAAGGTTCGGCGATCTCGCTGAGCCTTGCCTGTTCACATAGAACGCCACTGTCGAAGTTGTCGGTATGTATCATCAGGTGCGATTCTGTAGAATGTTGCTCCAATGTCTTATGGCGTTGATTACAGCTTTCATCTCTAATGAGTTTATGTGGAGCTTGCTTTCTAGCTGATTCCATAACCCTGATGCCGCCTGGTTGGTGAGATGAGCTCCCTAACCTTGGAGCGACGCGCCTACATATAGATGGGTTTTGAATTCTGCTCTGCTAAACAGATCCCTTCGCAGACATTCGATTTCTTGGTCCACCATAGTAGATGAGGTCTGAGATGTTCCAGTAGACTGAATGGTTGTAGGTCGCCGAGATGTGTGTTGATGAAGACCTGTAAGGAACGTGAACTGTAATCTGCCTATGACTGTCAAGTCTTGGGCTGATGTTAGAAGACCTAGTAAACTCTGCCATTGTCAAGTGGTAGCGGAGAGAGTAGGGCTGGAGGAATGATCTGTTGGATCTTGAGCCAACGGTCTTCTGGTACCTACTATACGGGTTGAGATTGGTGATAAATCGAATGCCTAGGAATTGCAGATCTTGGCGATGGTACTAGGTCCGACTTGTGTAAGTTTACTAACCATCCCAGCTGTGTTAGTAGCTTTATGATGTAGTTTAACTGTAGTTTGAGATGCTGTGGATCTTGATCTACTTGTATCCCGTCGTCGAGGAAGAACGCGACTCGCGTAGCCCCTTGACGATGTAGATAGGTGACAATCGGTTTCGCTATCCCTCGTGAATAACCATGGGGCTGATGTTATTCAATGGGAGTACTTTCCACTGGTAATGTAACCCGCCTAGAGTAAACCGTAGGTATTTCCTGGATTCTGCAGATAGGCATCTTGTAGATCTATACTGCCCATGTAGTCCATGGGACTAATCATGTGCCGTGAATCGCGTAGATGTATCATGTGGAACCTCGGTGGTCTGCGCGAGATAAGTCTTGT